TACAATAATACATTAACATTAATAAGCAAAGTACTTCGTAGTTATGGCGTTGCAATGTACGAAGAGGCATATCACTAAGAGATTATTAGGTGTGTTACTGTTGATGCAAAAGTACTCTTATCAGATAAAAGAATAAAAAATAATGCATCTTAAGAAGAAGAACACTTTCTGATTGCATTGATTTGTAAATCAAGATTTATTTGCAAAATTGTTATAGCTATTAACATTAATTCAATACAACGTTTTATGAATCAGCATTTATTCATTCGATTAGCTTTAATTTTGGCGATCAATGAATTAATAATTTTTAATCAATGTGTGTGACGTAGACGAAGTCAAGCTGAGAGAAGTGACTAATATGGCATGAATGGCATCAGTATTTATATTACAGTCTTATATTGCGTCACAGAATTCGTACATTCTCTGTCATTAGTGAAAAGCATCGACTCATTCTAGTAAAAAACATCACGAAGACGTCATTTAACATTGGCGTAATGGAGCTTCATTCACTATGACTCATATCTTGTATGATGTAGCCAGTTTACTTATCGCTATTTTAAACAGGTGCGGCATGTGGAAATTCCGCTTCGCTATTAATCAATTTTTAACGCTTTTATCCAAAATTTATCATTTTACTATTTAATAATCTTTTATTAAAAATTCGAATTTGTTTAATGGTTATTATTAAATGTAGAAAAAAATATTTATATTAAATTATTATTAAATCACGTTGACGCGCGCGCGCCATTATATATTATTCAGTTCCACGAGATATTATAATAAACTTTATGCATTGAATGATAGTATTAATAATAAACAGTATATTAAGATAAAATTTAAATATGTGGCGTGTGAAAATTTCGTCTCGCTATTAATCGATTTTTAACGTTCTTACCCAAAATTTACCTTTTTATTTCTTATCTTAATCTTGCTTTTAACCTTATCTTAACACGCCTTTTATTATTGTTATACAATATTATTATAACGGGCAACGTAATTTAATAATAATGTAATACAATATAAATATTTTCTACATTTAATGAATATATTATCTCTATCAAACAAGTTTGAATTTTTAATATAATTAATTTGATGCATAATAATTTATGCGTGTAATATTATTGTAATACGTTTATTTTAATTTTGCAATGTATTATCTGCAGGCATTGTGAAATTCACTTTGCATGCAAAACATTTTGTCGCAAACATTTAAATTAACTATACTATTTAATTCTCTTAATAGTTATCTGTAATTGCAGAATTTGAACGTTAAAATTCAATATGTAAATTAATGCATGCAAAAACCTGAATGAAAATTTAGAGATGACAACACATTCTATTGTTAACACGATCTATTGTACGGAGTTTTCGTAAATTTTTCCAACTATTCGATGGATGCTCGGTGCGATGGCGCGAGATACATATTATCGTTATTCTCGCCTCAGTTTCTGGCATTTCGAGACATTCTGTGGAGACGGTATGGTAAAGAAAATAATATAATGGGCCACGGTCCTTGGAGGGACCGGTTGACGTAACCGGTCCACTATTTTTAACCGCATCCTTTTGTTTCACTTTGTCCTGGCGCTCCCGCATTTTTATCCGCGTCTTTGCATCTCCTTCCTACACATCCATGTAAAAAAAAAATATTTCATTGTCTTTTTCTTCTTTGTATATTTATTCAAAACATTTAAGACAGTTTAGAATAGATAATACATATTCACAATGTACATATCATCAATGCTTTAGCTTTTGTTATATAAATAAAATATATTACATATAAATTATACAGCGCGTCTATACATTTTTAAACAGAAAAGTTTAAGTCTTTAGGGAAAAGCTTACTAACGAAGAAAAAAAAAACAGAGAGTAATTTCCAAAATTTGAGCCTTTTTTTATACTGTTTTCGATATTGAATATGTAGTAGACTCTTGATAAAATTTTATTGTGCACATCTTGATGAGAAATAGTTGAAGTGTTTTATTGAAAAACATTTTGGACCACAGAAATTTCGAAACAAACAGCACAATGTAAACAGCTGACTAAAAAGTGTGGGCAAAAAAGTGGATAAATTCAAAAATATAATAAACACAGTTAGAAATTCAGTTTTCTTGATGGAAGTAGGATAGAAGTAGTCGGAGAGAAAGGAATTTGTCATTTGCAAAACAGCTTTAGATACGACTATTACCTGCGCGACAACCGTTACACGACGAATACAAACGAGAGCGTCGCGTACAGAGAATCGATTTGCAAAGAAAACGCGTGGAATTTCTGTGAACGTATTAACTTCATTTATTCGTTACTGCATATATTATATTATATAATCGCAAAACCAAAAAACTGAAAAATTGTTTTCTACTTTGTTATAAATTCTCTACTTCGTTACAGATTTCTTTCTAAAAAATGATTATTTGTACTTTAAGCATGGCCAATAACTAAAATTGCGAATTTTTATTTTTTTTTTTTTCAGAGAAGTTATTCAATCCTTCCGTACTTTCTTTTGAGAGTTACTTATTTAAAAGAAGAAAGTATATTAAGTAACCACAAACCTCTTTGAAATATAGTATGTATATTTTTAGAATAATTATGATAATATAACATTGGGATAATTATATCTACATAAAATTGAATACCAAATACGAGAAACGTAATTAGAATATATTTTATTAGTTATTAACTCCTTTCTATGGTTTGCTAATAAAATTGCGAATAAAAATATATTTATTACTTCCGTAATATCTTTATACGTAGATTATAAAAAAATTAGAAATTTATAACTTATACTTGATGTTATATGAAACAACTTCTCTAAACTTTTGTAAAACAATTGATTTAATTTTTCATATTAGATAACAATATTAATTTTCCAATTCGAAATTGCAATACGAATGTAATAAAATTGGTAAAAACGTAACACAAACGAGCAATTAAATAGCTCAAAGATTAAAACTAGTTTATTAAAAACGTTTATCAAAAAGGGATTAAAACTATAATTATTCATTAATATACAATACATTTCATGTTAGACATTTATCAATAAAATCGTCAAACAGATTTTGCATTTATTCTTTAAACTGTTTCAAATGTGCAAAAAAAAGGAAGGCGGAACCTTGGAGGTAACGTTTCCAAAACGGCTACGTTGGCGCGTCCGCATACGCGAGAGGGATGACAGATGTTCGGCCGTCTCCGCCGGCGTTCGGCGATGTTCGGCGGCACTCGGCGGCGCTCGGTCGCGCAGCTACACCGCCCGGAACCGTCAGTCCCGCGCAGACTCTCGAGGTGTGGGTATACGCTTCGTGTCTTGCTACTCTCGCTGCCTCTCCGGCGTTTTTCTACGAGTACAAGAAAGAGTTTCTCGGGATCTGCGCGACGCGCACGTTGTTCCGAGCGTCGGTGTAACTGCCGCGTGTTCCGGCGAGTATCGCGAGTGAATTCGCGATATCTGTACAGTGGCGAAAACGAACGATAGAGAGAAAGGACGGCGAAAGACAGAAAGAGAGAGAGAGAAAGAGAGTGAGTGAGAAGAGGACGGTCGGAGTGCGGCTCGTGATCGATCTCATAGTGTGTACTGAGCGTCAAGGTGTTTTCTTTCCACGGCCACCCCCGTCGCCGATCTCTATTATGTCACCGGCCGCGCGTGCCGGTAGACCGCTCTGATTCGAGGTACTTGCAAGGCACGCAATAACGCCCGCCACGATGCTGCCACAGACACCTGATATCATCCCGACTACGTTGAACCAGGTAAGCGGTGGCGGTTGTGACGCGGTGAGGCTGCGGCGATGCGTTTAGACCGGAGGCACCGGTCACGCCGATTGAAGTCGGTTGGAATTTCGGTTGAGTTCAAATCTCCGCAGAACGCTCGGCGCCGAAGTCTTCCCCGCGTCTTCACTCGTGACGATTTTTGCACGAGTTACTCCTCGATCGAGCGTTTCTAGTTATAAGATAGTTTGATCTCTGACGGCGTCATAGGGTCACGTCCTTCGCTCCAAACAACATGAAGTATTTCAAAAATATTTGTAAAATATTGCAAGATTTGAAATATTTCGAAAATTTTTCATGAAATATTTTTAAAATATAAATATTTATATCCCGGAGAAGTCAGAGTTTTTAAAATCTTCTTTTCCTTACAAGATATTTATAATTTCTTTTCAGTATATTTCTAAAATAATGTTGTGAAATATTTCAATACAATGCTTTAAATTGTTCTACACAAGAGTGTTTACAAAATATTTCTAAATATTTTATTAAAATACTAAAAAAAGAGATTTACGTAAATATTTCATACTTTAGCATTTCAGGTTCTGAGTACGTATTATGGAATTATTCTAAATGGATTCCGATTAGAATTATTTAATTATTTCCTAGATTTCTATTGTGTTTTTTAAAGAAAATTGAGTAATTCCGATCGGAATCCATTCTGAACAATGCTATAATACGTGCCCTGAACGTTAGAATGCGAGATATCGAAGGAAGTTTATTTTTCAACCTCAGCACATATCTCATTAATCTTTTATGGCATTGTCACCTGCGATAAAAATTATTTTGTTCACGCATTTTGCTCTATTCTATATTTTCCCGTAGTAATCCTTCGCCGACAATATTAAAGCAGCTGCACACGATGCATTTTTTCCTGCTGGATTACTCATATTTTAATAAATTATTAGAATTTCCACACAGCAGAATTTCAAATAATGCAAATTTCAAACATAGAAGTTGTAATAATTTATTAAAACGCAAGCAATCCAAACAGGAAAACGTGCATTGTGTGCCGCAAATTTTTAGACTTTAAAGTTTAAAGACATAGCTTTTTTATTATGAATTGTAATAGATTTAAGTCTGTAAAAAATAAAATACAATTCAACTTCTACGAGAATAAAAACTCGTTATTAAAGCTTTTATATGTACATAAAAATTTTTGATAGAACAATATAAAAATCTGTATTGAAGTCCTGTATTTGAAAATCTAAGTTATAGACGAAGGGTGAAAATTTCACAAAAGATTAATAATAAAACATTTTGAACAATAAAAAAGATTAATTAAAGGAGTGATCTCAGAGCAGAAAATGGCGTAAATTTTCTTCCGTCTGTATTTACGATAACGAGAATTGAACTTACTGGCAGCAAACCGGTTTTAATGACTGGCTCGATTTTCTAAAGCTACTCCGTTTTGCATTGCGTTTCGCAGGGTATCTGTAAAAGAGATATTTAACGATATTTCGCGTGAGAGTAGGCTGCCTGAATTCAGCAATTTCTCGCGGCTAAATTATTTCACATTTCCGTTCCGCCACAATTGCGCGCGATTAATCCAGGGAACCCGCATGTATGTATACAATGTTTAAAGCTCCGTTATACAAGCAGACGTTCCACGCGATAGAAATTGATTAGCCTCGGTATCCTGTCATGACTCGGTGACATCCGAACAAAATAATCGTCTTAAAATCGCCCCGAATCGCAGACCTAGATCGCGATTAACCCCGGAAAGAAATAACCAACGATAATAAATGATATTCGCACGCGATACAGCCGCGCGAACATAGGTAATGTGAACCCAAAAGCGCCTTTGAACTCTCACATAATAGATAGCATCTCCATTTTGGCTATTCCGGAAATTTTAATTAAAACTTTGTCCGTTTGCCTGATTCTCGCCATGAAGAAGTTTTGCGTAACCTCGCAACTTTAGAATAGTTGAGCCACTGATATTAATATACTTGTGATGCATCTTAAGAGATGTTGATATCTAAACAAGAATTTGGTTCCTTTAAAATAAGTTTTGTTATAGCTTTATCTGAATTATATAATATGATTTTGTAGTACTGTGAATAAATTTTTACGAAAAAGTGAAGTATCCGATGAAATACTAGTAAATTTGAAATTGTTAGAAGTCTTTTCTATTCTAATATATTTTTATTTTAGATATACCTATTCCCAGCATTTTAGGATAAAAAATAGATTTTTTTAGTTTTGATCTATTAATAAAGTGATACATATCACGTGATACATTTGAAAGATGTTACAAGGAAAGAACGTATTACTGAAATATCTAAAAATTTAGATGCAGATACAGATCTATAAAAATAATATTGTTGGATCATTAAAGTAACTATGTAAGATACTTAAGCTGAGCTGTAAAAAGTTTAGACGTTCCATTAACTTGAATCGTTTTACATAATTATATATTTTGATGGTTGGACAAAATTACATTCAGATCTAACTAAAGTTTTACATATTTCAGTAAAATTGTTCTTCTTTCCGTATACCTAAGCAAAAATTATTTTCTCTGAAATAATCAATTTTATTTCTTTCTTATTATGTAATTAAATTTTATTATACAGCTTTGTCTTGATAATGTAATTTGATTTTATAATATAATATTATGCATTACATTTTGTGAATTAAATAAGAGAAATTTTTTAAAACCTATTTTTAATTTAATATGTTTTTGTTTTACATATTCTTAGCATTTTAGAATAAAAACTAATTTTTTAGCTAGATTAAAATAAGTTTCTCTATACGTAATAATTTATAGGTTGATGAGTTGGTTAAATAATACATTTGCTTATACAAATTTTCGAGTTATTAGGGATTGATAATAAAATACGTGTCTGTGCGAAGTGGATAACTACAGCTCTTCGCGTTTGCCACAATTCGAGTATTTCTCCGAGTGTCTATGAGGAAACTTAAGTTATCGAACAATATATATGACATCTTCTATGTCATTTTTGTATGATGAAAAGGGAATAATAACGAGAGGTAGACTATATATGGTCGATAATAATCGGAAGGTTTTGTCAAGGTCTGTCTGCCCGCAACAGACGACATTGACAACATTGACATTTTATCATGCAAAGTGGCTCGAGTGGTTTATCTTCCTTTATACTGTTCCCTTACACGTGATATAATCGATTGAATGGAGATCAGAGTTAAAAAAATGCCTTTCCATAATATACAGGTATTTTTCCCCGACACATTGAATATTTCAGGATAAGGAAGGGGGGAAATTAAATCAGAAAATGTGTACATTAATTACATAAGAAATCTTTTGAGCGTTCAAATTTACATGAGATTTTTATTTCCGATTAACGGATTAACTCTGATGGTGGGTCCATTTGACTCATTCACACACACACACACACACACACACACACACACACACACACACACACACACACAC